GTTTACCTCTCCATCTTTGCAAACTGTCCTGCAACGGAATTTCAAAGATACGTTTAGCCTTGCAAATATTTTGCGGGCTTTAGAAGGAGAAAAGCCACTTAGTTTGAAGAGGGGAGATATCTAGGACAGAAGAATTAAGCCCCCCATCATCCCTCCCACCTTCTGGTTCTAGTGTTCGTTCTAACTGATAAAGCCCTGAACAACTTTGTTCCAAGCTATGTCAAGGGCCACATCTCCCTTTATGAGCCTGTTTGGGTGTTAAGATCATCAGGAGAGGCCTTTCTCTCAGTCCTATCACCATCAGAGGTATATTGGGGACATGGGAGAGGACCTTCTCTGTTGCTGCTCCCAAACTCCCTCCTACAAAGGGCCAGGCAGGCCCCATCTTTGCTGTTCTTCTGCAAGCAGGCTACCTAAGTGGAGTCATTAAACAGATTGGTTTGCCTTACTGCTTTGAATGTGTTTTTGGTGTTGGTTTTATCTACCATGTTGTAGTGTGGTATTTGACCCTTTCTAGTATTTGTATACTTATTATTTTTAGTTTTGAATGTGTTTTTGGTATTGTTTTTATCTACCATGTTGTAGTGTGGTATTTGACTCTTTTTAGTATTTGTATACTTACTATTTTTAGTTTGAAATATTGTTTTTAATGATGTACACCATCTTGGGTCCTTTATAAGGAAAAAGGTGGGGTAAAAATATTTTAAAGAACAATAAATGTATAAATAAATAAATATGCCAAGTAGCCCTTCAGAAATTTTTCGTGTTAAAGGGAGGGCACTGGTATAATGTTATAGCTTCTGTCTGTATGGGACAGCTAGCTGTTTTTTTTAAAAAATTGAGACCAGAATTTTCACATATAAATGTAATTTTCTGCACAGTTGTAGAGTCATAGAACTGTAGAGCTTGAACAGATCCCAGAGGTTATTGAGTACAACCCATTGCTAAAGCAGGAAATCCAAAGCTAGAGCATGCCTGATACCCATCTGGGTATCCAACTTTGTTTAAAGTTGACAATGAAAGAAAGCACTATTCCATTGTCAAATAACTCTTACTGTGAGGAAATTCTGCCTATTTTTCATTTAAATCTTCATGCTTGATCTTTGAACCCACTCTCTGGAACCATGAAACTTCATCATCCATGTTATTGTTGACCTTTCAAATGTCACTTGTTTCTACTCCAGGCTAAACAAGCCCAGCTTCTTCAACTGTTATATGGCTTCATTTCCAAGCCCCTTACCATCCTGTTTTTCCTCTTCTGGATGCATTCCAGATAGGTAATTTCCTTATTAAGCTGTGTTTTGCAGAAGTAAACACAGTATCCGAGGTGATGTCTGACCAAAGCGGAATAGAGGCCACTATTACAGCTATACTTACTCTTAAGGTAGCGTAAAATTACATTAGCACTTTTGGCTGCCCCATCACACTGCTGACACATTTAGCTTGTGGTCTGCATGATCCCCTAGATTCTTTTCACATATACTGCTGTAAAGCCAGTTGTCACCCATCCTGTGTTTGTACATATGGGGTTCTTTATATTTTTGCCTGTTGAAACTCATTTTGACCCATACATGGCCCACCCACCCACACACATATATATTATATAGAAGAAAGAAGAGGGATTTAAGATTACTGTAACAGGAGAAATGGGTCAAAATGAACAAAATGAGTATATATACTATTCCAGCTTTGCTGAACATCCCCTCCACATTCTCATCCAAATCATTTATAAAGATATTGACGACCACCTGGCCATGAAAATACTGTACCATGTAGCCCACATTTTACCATCTTCACCACAAAAATATCATGAGGGTTCTTGTCAGATATCTTCCTGAATTTCAAGATACACTACATCTGTACCATCCCCCCAATCTATCAAAAGAAGAGATTAGATTAAGATGGCATAACTTGTTTTTGAGAGACCAGCGCTGGGTCTTAGTAGTCACAGTGATTTTTAGAGTCCTAACACAGTGACTGTTTAATTACCTATTCTAGAAATTCTCCTAGTTTTGATGTCAAGTTGACTGATCAATCATTGATTGGATTCTCTCTCCTTCTTTTTGAAGATCGGGATGGCATTTATTTATCTGCATTCTTTACTTCACCTGCTCTTGAAGAGTTCTCATAGAGAAAAGCTCTGAAATTATACCTACAGATTCCCTTAATAAGTTTGGATGTAGGCCATCTGACTCTGTGGACTTGTATTCATTTGATACTGGGTTTTTAAAAACTTCCTTGACTACCTTCCCTCTCATCTCCTTCTTTATTCTGTCTGTACTAGGTTAACCACTGTTTTCCTTATAGGACTAAAGGGAATCAAAATAGATATTCAGTGGTTCTGTCATTTCTCTGTCATCTACAAATTAGTATTCCCCCATCTTCTCCAGGCATTGGACCTAACACTTTCTTGTTCTTTCATAGAATCATAAAGTTGGAAAGTACCTATAAGGCTGTTGAGTCCAACCCCCTACTCAGTGCAGAAAAACAAATAAAAATGTCTGCCAAGTGGTTTTCTAAATTTCTCTTGAATGCCTCCCATGTTGGAGCACTCACCACCTCTCGGAATAATTATATCTATTGTCATAGTGATAGGAGTTTTTTCCTGATATTCAACTAAAATTTGGCTTCCTCTAACTTGAGCCCATTGTTGTGTTTCCTGCACACTGGGATGATCGAGAACATATCCTACCCTCCCCCTGTATTATTATCTTTCAAGTATCTGACAAATGCTATCATATCTCCCCTCAGTCTCCTTTTCTCAAGGCTAAACATGCCTAATTCCTTAAGTCTTTTCCTCATAAGGTTTGGTTTCCAGCCACCTGATCATCCTTGTTGCCTTCCTCTGAACTTGTTCCAATTTGTCTGCATCCTTCTTAAAGTACAGTATACAGAACTGGACACAGAACTCAAGAGGAGGCCTAACCAGTGTTGAATAGAGGGGAACTAGCCCCTCACAGGATTTGGAGACTATACTTCTCCCTTTTCTCTCTTATAGAAATTGTTTGTTATTGTGCCTTTATTATCTCACATCTAAAAAAAGACCATCCCGCATCAACTCTTTTCTATTTGAGTATTTCTGACAATGAGATTTGATGTAGTATTTCTCAAAGCTTACTTAAATAAAGAGTGTGATTAGATAGCCAAATTGTTCTAGTCTGGATCAGGTTGGATCATCCTAAATAAGGTCCCTTTGAGATACCATATGTCATTTGAGGTGATCTTTGTATCCACATGCAAGGATTGTGTAGTTTCAGGGAAGGAAACCACACTGTACTTGCAGTGACCTTATCAGTTGATCCCTTGCTTTAAAGGGAAGGGGGAAAATAACAAAACAAATATCCCCCGCTTGCTTTCTTCTTTCTCCTTCTCTGTGAGGACAGCAAGAAGTTTTTCTTTAAAAATAAATATTTCAAAGTGGAATAGCACTGGATTGGTTTGCTAAGCAACCAATGGAGAGCTGGATGATGAGGGTTTTTTTAAATTTCATCTTCTTCTATCTCCTTCTATAGGGGAACAAGAGGAGATTTTAAGTGCTTAGATTCTGGAGAGGCTAAGCTGAAAGTGACTGCTAGTCATTCACTTTGGTTGCATCCCAGCTATCACATACCATATGCTAGAACCGAACCAAAACATAGCAACCCTTCCTATGCCAAAATAACAGTAGCCCCCGACAGAGACTCAAAAAGCTGCAAGTAAGCAAGGATAAGGGATGGGTTGGTTTACAATTGCCTATATGTTATGTGATTACTGGGAAAAGGAGCAAACTGGCCTATCACCAAAGCAGACAAAGCCATGGTAAAAAAAAACAATCACATCTCTCTCTAAGTTTCTTAAAGTCTAGATTTCATGTTATACAGTGGACCCTCGACTTACAGACGGCTCGACTTACAGACTTTTCGAGTTACAGACTTCTCTGGCTGCAAAATTTAGATTTGACTTGCAGCCGGAGAATCGACTTACAGACCAGAAAAAAAAACAAAATGGAACAAAAATAGAATAAAAACTGCCAGTTATGGGATTAATCGGTTTTCAGTGCATTGTAGGTCAATGGAGATTTGACCTACAGACTTTTCTTCCAATACGGATTAATTCCGTAAGTAGAGGGTCCACTGTACTACTCTCAGCTTTCCATCAATATAACTAATCCCAAGATGTTGTGGTCACTTCCACGCGAAGTTTTTACTATTTCTGTCTCATGGACCAGTTCTTGCCTGGTGATGAGAGCCAGACAAAGGTCTTCCAATACTATTTTTGTGACCCTCAGTCCTCTACCAGTTCTTTCTTTTCCTGACAGAAAAAGATGGATTACAGCTCCTATGCATGGTGATTCACATTTTAAATAGGTCATCACCACTCTCTCCATGCACTTTGTAGTATCCCACAATACCTGTTTTTTAAAACTGC